TCTCAAGATCTTTTTTGTATTGTGATGATCAGAACTGGAGGGTTGTCTTATCTAGACAGTATAGGGTGGTCTTATCAAGGCAGTATATAGCAGGTACCAATTATTTCATGTGATCTTGATACCTTTCCTCTGTTAATGCAGCCTAACTGCATTGACTTTTTTGGGGAATAACATTCCTTAACTTGTCCTGCATTAAAACTGTAAGAAAGTATCAACTGCTGTCGGAATATGGTGCAGGGCAATTTATGGTAGCATATTTTCTGCTAGTTCAAGAATGGAAAAAAATAGCATGTTAAGATGGTTGTAAGGAAAAGTCCCCTCTTACAATATAATAGGAAAGAAGCCCTGTGTTGGATTTACACACTTCAGTGAAGTTTATATGATTGTTTAAAATCCATGTTGCAAATCCTATCACTACAGTTTGTAAACTATTGCCATTGTAATGTGTGAACTTAACAATTGTGAATAATTTATCAAAACAATTGGAACAAACCATGATGGAATATATTTTGTGAACCAATCCTTTGGGTCCCCAAACATCCTTTTGATGATGCATCTGGCTGATAGAACTGCCTTCAGCCATCACGTACCTTGTATATATTTTGGCTATCTGCTAGGGCCTAGGCTGGAGAAGTTTGGATTGGACCAGTGTTTCTCAACCTTAACAATTTTAAGATGTGTGGATTTCATGGCTGGGGAATTCTGGAAACTGAAGTCTACAAATTTATTTGTAGATTTATACTATTGGGCTATTGATTTCATGAATAGGAGGAAAAAAATGGTAATCCCTTTTACCTGAAGATATAAATCCTAATTCCAGGGTGTAGCATATTTGTAAGCAGCAGCCAAGATTTGAAATGACCCCTACTATTTATATTTGCTTTTTCTGTCTCTACTTCTTAGGGCTATTGCATTTATTAGGCTTCGGCTTTAGCAAAGATTCCTGCTCTGTTGCTGCAAAGATTGAATAAAGCTGCTTTAGAAAGCAACAGCTCAATCTGCATTCTGCAGCTGACATCATATTGCAGCAGCACTTCCTGACTAGTCAGCCTAAATATGGTTGTTTGTCTTGTGTAATAACAGCCTCATCCTGATATCTGGCATTGCAGTTTTGAGAAACAAGCCACCAGGTGTTAAAAGTGCTTCCAAATATATTAAATGAAAACACCCTCCATTTCCCTGTGTTAGCTCTCCCTGTCATTATCTTTATGGGAAATTCCAGATAGTTAGCAATTAACCCAATCTTGCCAAGGCTTATCTTATTCCAACTGTGGGAAGTGGGGGGGGGGGTAATTGTTGGAGAATAAAGCTTCTGATATCTGCATGAAAGACACATGCTATCTGCCACAAAAAACATCTAGCAAAGTTATGATGAAGGTGGGATCTGGCTTCAGAGAATACTTAACTCTAATCTACTAAAGCAGGTTTTAAATTTTCACATCACTTCATTTCAGCATGTTCTCCTTAGCTGGGGTGAATTACTGATCATGAAAATCTGCTTCACATAATATGCTTTGTGTTGTAACTTAGGGTGAATCCAGCCAGTTCTGGCTTGTAAACCATGTCTGTACAAATCTAATACTACACATAAGACTATACAATCTGGTTTAACATAATACGGCCTAAGATTAAATATGTGCTTGAACATATTGTAATGATGGAGATAAGATTTTTTTCAAAATTAAAAAAAATATAAATTGTAAATTGCAATGATGGTGAATCAAAATGGGATTATGAATGCTTTGGATTTGTGGATTCATGTGATACATTTTGTGTCAAATGTGAGCTAATGTGAGGACTTTCAGACAAATGCATTAGTAAATTGGATTTGTTAAAGGAAAATAACTTCTAAATTTTATGTGTCTGTGGAAAAAAAGAATCCTTCCTTTAATTATTTGAGTTACTAAGCTTTCTGGTGTATGAAGGATTAGTCAGAGCTAAAGCATGCCTTTTGATTAGGTGAGATTCTTCTTAGGAGCCTGGTACAGTGATTAGTCATGCTTTCATCTCAACCCAAACAGATTTTTTTTTATTCTATAGAAAAGTTATATTGAATTGCTGAGAAGCAAAATCTAAATGGCACAAATAAGTGCTTGTGTATTCTTGACTCTCAAAACTGCCTCAGGTGAATTGGAATATACTCGGAAGTTGAAATCCAAAGGGAAAAAAAAAACCACAAGGACACCAACCAGTCTATATATACAGATTTACATATAAAAATTATGGTAGTAAGAATGATAACAAATGCCAGGAATATATAGAAGAAAAAGATGGAATCTGTACTTTGAAGCTTATCAGATAACCCAGAGCAGACAGAGGGATGTTTGCCAGGAATATGTCCAAATTGCTGAGGGTAGCATTGAAAAAATGGGCAAGCAATATAGTATTTTTTCTACAGATTTTCAAGCTGTTTAGGGTCATACTAGACATAATGTTCAATACTATTTGCATTTAAAACGCACACTTTTTTAAAAAAACCAAAAGCAGCTGTTGGTATTTATACATGTGAAAATCACTGAAACAACAGTGACTGGGGAAGGGAAACCTCCTTTATGTATAAGGAAGAAAGCTTCCATTAATAGTATTATTTGGTGGGTTGCAATCAGCTTTGTATACTAGATTTCCAGTTTCAATCCCAATCTCTCCAGATAGGGCTGTGAAAAGAGCATGTTGAATCAATGTCAGCCAGTGCAAATATCAGTACTCGATAAGCCTATAGGGCTTATCTCTCTACATAGCCATTTTTTATAAAAAAAAATGTGCACTTGATTGCAATGATGTACTTAACATCCCATCTTGTTCACCTTGTTTAAGCCAACCTTTTCTAAAATATATCTCTAGCCATCAAGAATACCAGCTAAATGCCAAATCACTACTGATGTGTTATTTAAAGATGTTTACAGTCCTTTCTGTTGCTAAGGCAGTGAGGTTGAAGTCAGCCTGTTACAAGCCATCCACCACAGAAAATCACTTAGCTGGATGTTGCCACATAGTGCTTATTGACTATATTCTCTCTGTTTCTTCCTGCTTTTTCTCCCTCCTCCTGCCACGTACAGCTTACTGCAGGATTAGGCTTCCTCCAGCTGCTGCCAACTTGTGAACAATCATGGTGCTGTGAGGGACATTTTGGTGACCTCATCTCTCAGACATCTCTGCTTGCCACAAGAAAAAAAATTTCTTCTGTGAATATGGAAAGAATTTGTTTGTTCCAAAGAATCCATGTTGTCAGAGGGTGTCCCAAATGTAGTCATGACTGTCATCTACTCTACTGCACTGGTCCACAACCAGTGGGCTGGGGACCACTGATAGTCCGTGAGAAAATTTTGGTGGTCCACAGAGAAATGTCACCCCCAAAGTACCCCCCAAAGCAATTAATCCAGGCTGTGCAGGAACACAAGGCTGCACTGCCCACATGGCCTGTGGGAGCACAAAGCTTGCATCACTTGCATTGCAAACAACATGAGGTAGTGAGGGGAGTGGGGAAAAGGGCAGTGGGGGGGAACTTGAGCCACTCACCCCACGTGCCTGGCCTGGCCACCGGGCTGCTTCTTTTCACTTCTTTCTTCTGCTTTTGGCTGTACGCAAGGAAAGCAGCAAAAGTCTTTCTTTCTCTTCCCCAAACTCTGCCAGAAATGAGTCTTTGGGATTCTGCAAGGCATCTTGCTTCAAGAGGCTGCGCCGGCATGACAAGTCTCACAAAGACTCATTTGTGGTGGAGTTTGGGGGAGAGAAAGAAAGACTTCTGCTTCTGCTGCTTTCCTTGCATGAAGCCAAAAGTCTCTCTCTCTCTTTCCCCCTGAGAACGGAGGTGGAGACGGTATCCTGTGATCCCAAATAAAGAATAATGGATTGGTAGGAAAAGGGGGCAGAGAATTTTCCTTCAGACTTTTTTTCCAGGGTCTCTGGTCCATGGGATTTAAAATTATGAGTTTGGTGGTCCCTGAGGTCTAAAAGGTTGGTGACCACTGCTCTAGTGAATCCAAATCTCAGGAAAACAAGCCAAGAACAAGCCTGTAGAAAAGCACTTTTACTCATTCAAGTTCCTGAAAAAGTGCCAGCATATATACATGTAGTATACCTGACAAGACAGGACTATGGAGTAAAATGGTTCCAAAGGACAGAGTTCTATACAGGTAATACTTAACTACCACAGTTGTTACATGAAGTGGTCACTAAATGAATCTGTGATGGTGTCTATGACTTTACTTCAGCTTTCTTTTGCTTTACAGACTCACAAAGGTCATTAATGTGAGGATTGGTCAGAATGTTCCTTTTTCATTACTGTTGCAACTGAGAATTGTTGCTAAATAAAGAGATTACTAAGTGAGGGCTACCTGTACTCACTAGGACAGGGGTGTCAAACTCAAGGCCCGGGGGTTGGATCTGGCCTGTGGGGTGCTTAGATGTGGCCTGTAGGGCCGCCTTAGAAACAGCAAAGGATCACAGTGCCTCTGCTAGCGAAAACGGAGCTCAGGAGGGCCATGTGAGGCTCTCCTGAACTCTGTTTTCAGTGGCAGAGGGATGCAGGACACCACTGCAGCCAAAAACGGAGCTCGGAAGCCCGTTTTCACCAGCAGAGTGCTCAGGCCACCATAGGCGCCCCCGACATGAGTGATGTCGAGCTGGCCACACCCACCCCAGCCCCCGAGGTCAAACACAACCCTGATGCAACCCTCAATGAAATCAAGTTTGAAACCCCTGCACTAGGACATTATAACCAAGGTAGGTAGTCTGTACTCGCAGGCTGGATGCATGATGCACTGACATGCCCACACCCAGTTTAGCAAAAGGGTAGGGAAGTCATGATATGTCACATGATGCCGCCATGACAACACAAGTTTGACATCCCTGGTGTAAGTGATTTGTTCAAGCCTCTGATTAAGAGAGATCTTCCTTTATCTATGGCCTGTTTCTTGGAAAAGAGTGGGAAAGGTGTTAACAAATTAACCAAAAACTGGCAATGAGTGCCAGAGACAGAATAAATGTACGTATCTTTCTTTGGGCTTGGATCCCACTAATTATTTCTTTACCCTGTCTATGTGCCCCCTCAATTATCCCCAAGAAGCTACAGTCTTTGGCTGCAAAAAGATACCCTACCAATAATACAGACATTAGTGAAGAAGAAAAATTCTTAATTATCACCTTATCTTAATTATCAATTATCATGGAGGTTTGAATCTCTATGTACTAGGATTGCTTTGGTTTGCTTAGTAGCTAAAAACAACCCAAAGGAACAATTTCAGGGAACCCTTTTGAGGGAAGGAAGAATGTTAAAACATAGTTATACCTGCTTCTAAAACTTGATTTCAGTTGATTAGAGGAATCTCACTGCCATGCATGTTAGATCCTTTGGCAACATTTCTTTTTCATAGCTGCTAATCCCCTAAAGAGTTTGCTTTATGACATCCACTTCTTCCCTTTGGTATCTCAGCAGAATAGTTCCTTGAGAGAGTGACTTGATCAGGGAAAAATGCAGGCAGATGGGTGGGAGCTGGAAGAGGGCAATCTATGAGTATGTTCTGAAAATATGTAGGGGAAGGGGGAGTGAGGAGCCTAGTTCTCATGTTCTTCCATGTCTAGGACAAGACAACCCTTCTTTCTCAGCCAACGTAACTGTCTGAGAGCCCCTTCAAAAATGAGCACAAAGACATGTTCAGACGGTCTTATCTCAACAAGCGATGCTTCCAAAATATCCCTGTGTAAAAAATGGTCACCACTATAATTAGCCAGAGAGAAAAAAATTACCCATTTTTTTTCTTTTGGGGGATGGTCAACTATTGCTGTGAGAATAAATTACACACCGAGATACTTTCAGATTAAGCAGTCTGATCTTCCTCTCAAGGATACTTTCAAAAGATACTTCAAAGATCCTGCTTTTCTTAATGAGGGTATAACTTATGGTTGTCTGAATGGACTTTGAGGCAAAGAGCGGGAGGGGGAGTATTGCCAGACCAATGAAAGTTGTTTCTACCAGTGGGCAGAAGGGCAGAAGTATGTTCGCAGAGCATGTGGCCAAAGACATGCAAGGCTGCATTTTTAGATTTCATTGAACCTCTTTCCCTGGTATGGAGAAGAGTTGCTTCCAAGAGTATGCAGTTTGTGCAGGTGGCAGACACATGAGGTTTAAATGAAAAGGAAAATGCACAAGGGTGACTTTATGCATGCTGTCCTCCCTGTTTAAACCATGCTATATATCATAATTATGAAGTGGAATCATTGCAGGGATTGTACTTTACTCTGCCTCTTTCTCAGCTAAGCAACAGCCTTGTGTATGGCTCTAGCAGCAAATCCAGGGAATACCTGGAAGGCTTTCCAAAGACAATGTGTAAACTGTCCTCTCTTTTTGTGGGGGGAACATGGAAGCATGAAAAGCAGCCTTGTTTCAGAATCTGATTTTACCTTGAGAAATAATTTCCTTTTCTTCCTGAACGAGCACTGTGGATAAGCTGCTGCAATAGCTATGCAAAGCTGTAAGTGCCAGAAACAAATTGTTAGTTAGGGTTTTGCATTGCCAATGCCTGAATTTAGGAGATACAGAATGGAAAGTTATATTTCAGCCCTCCATGTCAGTAAACTAGATCCTTAACATAAATTGAATTCTGTGCGTGCTCTGGAAGTATATAAAACAACAAGGTTAACATACAGATTCCTTGGAATGATATCACTTGGAAGACTAGGATTACATTTCCTTCTGAGGGTGTATAATAAACAACAATCCTATCTCAATCAGAGTTCTGGTGCAGGAAAACTGGACAGCGTGCTGATGAACTGGTTTCAGATACAGTCCAAATTTTGTGTTTCTTGTAAAAAGAGGAGAAGAACCATCCTGCCTTGCTGGTGTCCCAGTATCTTGGATGGGAAAAACAGTTGAGTTGATCTTTATTTTCATCACAAGGCAATTAGGAGAATATTGTCCCAATGGAGGTAGGGTTTCTCTTCCCTTTACTAGACTGTTCTTTTTTAACTACATTTTTCCTGATAGTTATTTGATAGAGATATGAAAGGTCTCAGTGGTCTCTATTCTTAAGTATAAATGTTTTTATTTCTAGGGGATGGAAAAATAATGGCATTATCTGTCATGATGAAATCAATCAACCAGTGGGAAGGAAGGAGCATGGGAAGTCATAAGCATCTTTAACTGTCAGCTGCCACAAAAGAGCAACTAATACTTTTTGGTTTGCTCTAAATTGTTCCTTTTACTATTTCTTTTTTTAAACCCACAAAGCAGGGAGGAGGAGACATACCAAAGTAGAGAAATCAGTTCCGTCCTGCTTTTCCTAGCCTGGCACTCTGTAAATGTGGTAGAACTTATCACTCGATGGGAATTCAAACTGGTGTCTGAAAACACCAGTTTAGGAAGCACTGATATACAGAAGATCATCTGGAAAGAATGCTAACCTTGTGAATCTGCACATATCCAGAATGCCAGATAGCTTTACATTGTTTCATTTTGCTCTGATATCTCCTCAGAGGCTGGTGGGAGGCCACAAGAGAACATGTATGTCCGTTCAAACCTTAACTTCATCTTCATCCTCTTCATCAACATATTCAAAGGAATCACTGTGTCCTTCTCTAACAATGGTTTCTTCATCACTGTCAGACTTGTTGTGGTCCTCCTCCTCCTCTTCCTCCTCCTCTTCTCTTTGTCGCCACCCAGTAGAATATTCCCGTTGCTCAGGTGCACCTACTTTCAAGTGCCATGAGTTGGCAATCGGGCTTTCCCATGAGGCTTGTCCCCTTGGATCTTCTTCTGGAGATGGACTGCGGTAGGTACTTCCTGCCCCATAATGGCATGCTAAGACACGGGCAGCATGGTTGAATTCTCTTGCTTCCATGTTACAGTCCTTGTGGTGCCCTTTTTGCCAATAGGTCTCTTTTGGCAGTGCCTCCAGTTCAGAACTAGAACTCCTGCTTCTCAAACAGGGAGATCCTTCCTCAGACATCTCTATAGAATGAGAGTCTCCATTAGCATAGGCCAAATGTCCCAAGGGTGATCTAAGCTCAGAGTAATCCAAAAGGCTTGATACGTTTTGGCTTTCTTCACCATTACCATGACGAGATTCTGACTTCACAGGTAGCGAGTCGTCTGACCAGGTGCTCTTGATGTGAAGGGAAGAGTGAGACTCACTGCTGCTTGGCGGTTTGCTCTCTTCGCATTCTTTCTTTTCCCTGGAGTCAGAGCTGTCGCCTCCTGAGAAGCTGATGACATGAAGAAGTTCGCTCATGAGAGAGGGGCCAAGGTCCAGGCGGAAAGACAGCAAGGAATCTGAACGCTGCAATGCTGACTCAGCAGGATGGGAGCTCTCGGGAGGCTTCTCAGATCGGGGAACACGTGGAATGGTACAGAATCCAGATTCTAATCCTGAAAGGCCATGAAATCAATCATGAGAAAAAATAACAATAGAAAACTACTTCTCTGCATTAACTGTAATAGCAGAAGGTGACAATTCTATATTTGTAGTATGCGAAATATGAGGACAGGTGGGTATTATTTCCCAATTCTAGGGAAACTAGAGGTTTTTCATGCACCCTACTCAAAACTGCAGCTTTCATGTGGCAAATCTCTGGACATAAGGTTGACAATGTGACAGCAAATGGGTTAAAGGCAAAAAATAATAAGCTCACAAATGTGGTTTTTTGTGGGGGTGGAGATGAGAGAGCAAGGTAGAAATATGAGTTATTTCTTCCTCTTAGTGCTTAGTCAAGATTTCTCTGCAAGAGATTACTATTTCTGGATAAGACTATTGTGGAGTGAGTGCACCATGTCAGACTAACATTGATTCACATTTGCCACCTCATGCACATTTGTGTTAATAGCATACAGCTAAAATATGCAAATTAGTCACAGCTCAGGGAATTGTGAGCTGTTTCTAATGAACTGTTCTTGGTGCCAAGAGCAAATTTTTCATCCCTGAATTAATCTAGTAGCCATCCTTCAACAGTGGGCTCCCAGAGCCAGGAAAGGAAATATGTAGAAATATGTAGGTTCAGAATTAGAGTGTTATATTACATTTCTGGGTCTGTTTTCCCATTTTATGGCATACGTCTTGTGTCTATTTCCACATGGTACAGTATATATGCATTCTATTTCTAGACTAAAACTGAAGATATACCATACTCTTAAAACATATATAAATCATGGGGTCTATAATCAGGCATATTAACACCATCATAAAAGCTGGCATCATGCCATTTAACACCAGTTTGAAAGTCATGGCAGTTGTGGGTTGATATGAACACATACATGATGTCATTTGCTGCTTCCGTCTGGAATGTCCCTGCGCCTGATATTACAAAGTGCTAACACATTGGCAGAGTATCATAACATATCGAACCAGAAACTATTAATTATTTATTATTCATTTTAATTTTTAACCCTGTTCAACATGCCATGTGAGTTCAGATTATGATTCCTGAACAATGGGATTTCACATATCTAAAAGATGCACAGTAGGCTATTTTGTGAAAGTCTGGCCCATTTATCCTCCTCTTCTTAATCAAAATTATTGTATGTATATTAGCAGAAAGAACGAAATAGTTAATGTGACAATTCTTCCATTAAATATAAATAGTGCTAGATTATCTTCATAGAACAGTCTTTCTAAACCTGGTGCCTTCAAGGCTGTGTATTATTTATATTGTGGGAAGCATTATGTTTCGAATATCAGTTGTTGGAGAAACACGTGCTGGGAAGAACCAAGGAGGTCTATGAACTTCCTATAACAGGACTGTCAAACTCTTGGCCTGCAGGCCGGATGCATCATGCGCTGGCCAAGCACACACCCAGTTTAGCGAAGGGGAAAAAAAAGTCACGATATGTCATGTGACACCGCTGTGAGTTCAACACCCCTGTCCTATAAAAATCTGGAGTGGCCTCTGTGGGGAAAAGAGGTTGTTGGTATGGTCAAATCTAGCTGACTGTCGGGACCAAACCCAGAGCCAACACACTGAAATCCAATCAAATTCAATTCTTTATTTGCTTATACCTAATGGACAGAATCTTGCCAAACCAAAGCTATAACCTGCTAAATATATCCTGAGAGTTTCTAGGGTGTGGCTATCCTGAATGTCTTCCTCCTTCCCCATCCAGCTCAAGACTGTGCAGTCTCTTAATTTGGGCCTCTGATGGAATTTACTGCCTCCTCTCAAGGAAGGCCCTGAGCTGCCAAAGCTCTTTTCCAGGTGCGCATTACATCCCATTGACTCTTAATTTTATTTTAAAATATTATACCCTGCTTTTTACTTAAATTGAACTTATGATGGTTCAGTATGGTTACTTAATTTTCCAAGGCACATTTCAGCCATTCTCATCTCTGGAAGAAAGATACCTTAGGTACTTAGACACTGGCTTAGTCAAGATCTTTTGTGAATATCCTCCTGCCTGTTGCTAAACATGTAATTCTAAAAGCAGTATGAATTATGCATCAGAGCCAGCTGGCCTGGGCAATGAAATATTGGTCATGCTTATTTAGGGAGCAAATATATTGGGAGCAATGGAACCGCAGGTTTGATTACACTCTGAAGATCAAAAGCAGAAAGAATGGGGAATTAGTTTTCTCTCTAAATGATTGGTTAACCTTATCTTTTCTGCACTTTGCTCATGAAGCTGGAATTTACAGCGGGGATGATAAAGTGTAAAAAGCTGGAAAGGGGAATGTGATTATTGCAACAACTGCACAATTCATCATGTACGACAGAGGGCAGCATTGTCTCGTGTCTCTTTTGAAGAAAGCCGCGGAAAGAACAACACATTTCTAGACTGGCAATGTGGGCAAAGATAACTACAGCTGCAGTTGCTCTAAGTGAATCTCCTGGTCCCACCTCAGGGCAAATGCTGCAGTTTTATACTGCAGATCCAGATACCACAAGAGGTAAAGAAAGCAGTTGCCAATTAAACAGTGTAAAACCTGAATGTGTTCCACTGTTTTGAGTTGAGATAAGAATTAGACTAGACTTCTTCCTATGTTGATCAGGTGGGTGCAGAGAAGATTGCCTGGAAACACCTGAGCAACATCCAGGTTTCGTGTTTGACACTGGAGGAGATCTGTTCTACTTCATTCTGGTTTCCTATCACGATCCAAATATTCCTGTTTCATAAATTCTTTCCTTTACATACAGATTCTTCTCTTTTTCTGTCAGCTGCTTGCTTGGCATTCTGTCCTGAATGCAGATTCCCTTGTTGGACACAAGCCATGTTCCCAGCATTGATCTTCCCAACATCTTACATATAAATCTACCCTAAGATAGCAAAAACGGCACAGATTTATAACCTAATCCTAGATATGTTTCCACCAATGCATGTCTCATTGCATTTGCTCATGAAGATTTAGCTTCCAAAACAAGTGTACAAAAAAACAATGCCCTTGATCATGATTTCCCCCCACTGCTCTATATACCTCTTCTTTTGACAGATTTACCAACTCTCCAAATAGACACGTCATTGTGTGTATTAGCATAGACCCAGAGTTCTATGTTTACAACAGAGTAATGAAATGTCTGACTTCTGTAAGCACAATGTCAAAGTCATGATCTATTTATTGATTCAAGGTATTTTATTGTTACACCAATTTCAGCTGCAAAGGATTCCAAAGTGGTTCAGGTGAAATCAGTGGAACAAAGCATCTCATTTGAGGTGACATTAATCAAATGCATTTGTGGCATTAAAGCCATAAGTCTGGAGTAGACATCAATGTTGCTGCATGTCAGGGAACATCTGTGTCTGTCCGGAAATAGTTGCATAGCTGTTGCATTTATCCTTCTATGGATTTTAATGTTCTAGCTGGAGGACTTTCAAATAACAAAGCCAACAGGAAGTTGGATCAATCAATCAGCATGCAGGATGCACATCTCAACATAACATATAATTGAGATTTCGGAAGTACGCGCATCAGTCCATCTGCAACCCTCTTGTAGCATAGGCATGTGTTGATGATGCCGACACACAGTTGCAGACAAGTCTAAAAAGCTATAATCAGGAGGTATGCAATGTGCATTTTTATAAGTGGAGAGATCATATCTCCTGTTTTTCTCCTATCCCTGTTTACATTCAGCATAAAGTGAAGTGGCCTACACACAGAGAAATGCCTGGCTTATACAGTACATAGGCTGGTTGTAACCATGTATTTCTATACGACAGTTTTCTTTTCCAGGGTTTCTGTCTTCCTGATGTAGATGGGTAGGCATTTCTCCTGTCATGTTGAACATATCCTATGTTTCAATTTATTCTGATTACTGCAACATATGCAAAATTCTCAGTTGCTGGTTATTTAGAGCTTAGCAATAGATTTTTATATTCTGTTTATTTTAAAAATTTAAGGTTATGTTGCCACCTTATACCCCCACCCCCACCCCCAAGAGATCTTATTGCACCAAATTATTCTGTTCTGTTTTTTTATCAAGTTAACTCTTCCAAAGTTTATTTTGCTTATGTACCACTGATGTAGTTTACTCAACTGCAGATGCTAAGTTTTTGATTTAGAATAAACAATATAGTAATAGATAAAAATAAGTTATTAGCAAATAGATAAACAAGGATACTGCAGACATTTTAAGCATTAAGAAATAATCGGTATGTGAGACCATCTGTACTAGTGTTTATTCTGCAGCAAAAGTTAAGATTGCTCTAACAGTGATATTTTTGCAGTTTCTAGACTCTTCATAACATACTTGCTTCATTTTGGTTGCACTTGCCAATCTCATGCATATTTGCAATTTGAGATTACCCCACCCCTTCCCTTCCCTTTCCATTTATAAGCACACTTCCCATTTCTAATCTCCTGCTGTCTATGGATTGTTGGGTAAACAGAAAATACGCGTAGCTATTTCTGGCCTTATCGTTATCATTCTAGGAAAATGCCAAGTGCATTCTGGAAACATATGACTTATAGAATTGGTGTAGACTTGAAAATATGTAGCAGAAGAACCACCAGACACCCCAAAATTGACGAAACTTTAAAGTACTCTCAGATGCCTGCTGGCACTTGGCTGAAAGGCCAAAAAAAGGACATCTGAAAGCTATGAGTCACATTGTGATTTCTTTATAGGAACCCTCCATTTTCACAGTCTTTTATTTTATACTTAAAAAAAGAAGACTTATATACTTATAAAAACTTCTTATTACAAAGCCTCTGAGAAACTCTTCAGAGATGTCATCTGAATATGTACTAAGACAATGCTACGACTTAAGAGCCAGTACATATTATTCAAAATAATGATTTGGTAATCACATATTGCAGATCTGTTTTCAAGAAAAGAATGGGAGACCAAGAAAAGAAAATTACTGCAGCAGAGAATCATAGAAACTGTAATGTAAGGTAATGTGTGACAGACTTCCCCTAAACACATACTGCAGTATGGCACTTGTCAATCCCAAAAGTATAGACTTCTAAAAATATTATTGAAATGTCTTTTTGAGTGTGCTTATGAAATGTTTTTGTCATGTATCTAAATCAGTGTTCCTCAACCTTGGCAACTTTAAGACGGGTGGACTTCAACTTCCAGAATTCTCTAGCCAGTCATGCTGGCAAGGGAATTCTGGGAATTGAAGTCCGCCCATCTTAAACTTGTCAAAGTCGAGAAATATTGATCTAAATAAACCCAGAAAGAATAAATATCTAAAACAAGATAACCTATTTGATTCAAATGAGTTACCTTAGAAGCCACCTACCATAGTCAGAGAAGCTTGTTGGGGGTTTCTTGAAGGCAAATGCTATACCAAGATCATCGCTGTCATAGTGACTCTGATTGAGCTGAGGCAGTGACACAGCATTCTTGATGATGGGTGAGATGGCGGGAGGTGCAGATGAGCCCTGATCCTTGTTTCGGCTTCCCCGGTTCCTTAGCGGGCTCCTCCTTACATGCCACAGTGTCCGAGCAAAGAAATTGTGGGGTTTGACTTCCTCTCCACCATGGTTCCTAAGGAAAGAAGTGTCTCCAAAGGCATCACCACCTCGTCCCACATGCATGGTGTGACGAAAGTCCCCCAGTGGCGGGCTGATCATGTCCGGGGTCAATTCTGTTTTGAATCGGCGTTTGCTGTGTGAGCCAGACACCCAGCCAATCACGGGTAGCTTTCCAAGACTCATTTCCTAGCCAGTTGACAAAACCCCGACCCAGAAATTCAATGTGTCCTTCAGAAAAGGTTGATGTTAATCTGGAAGTACACGGGTATAACTTAAGGATGGTCACATACTTGGACCCCCCATTGTTTATGTTTTCTTTCACTGTTCTTTCTGCTAGACTATTTAACAAAGAATAAAAAATAGGTCTGTCATGGAACTTCTGGGTTTCTTCCAGGACAATGTTGTCTAATTTGCACTGTTCCCCCCAGTCCAATTGGATAGTGACCCTTCACAGTTTTCATGTAGCTACTTATCTGATTTGTTTCTTGCAGGTTTGGAGGAGCAACCTAGTTTCTCTTTTTGAACAGCAATGGTCATTAAAACAGTGTTTTCACTTGCCTGACTCAACGTGTGCAAAACTGGAAAATCAATATCTCTTTTTCTCTCTTTCTCAATTTCTTTTGTAAGAATCAGCAAAACCATGGGGGCCTCAAGTAGCAAGGGCCACAGTGGGAGTCTCACATCTTGTGTCCCGAGCCTGGATTGTTGCCACACAGCATCCTAGAGAAGATAAAAGAGACAAAGTAATTCTTGAAGTTCCCAAACTATTTTAAAATGATGAATTTGAAAGTGGACACTGCCCATGTGTGCTACCAAGCAGTCTGTGATGAAAGCTCAACGCACAAGGTTAGAGAAAAGTTACATGGTATGTTAAGCAGATTCCTTCTGGAATCCTCCACCAGGTGGCAGAGACGGTTTTCTGTCTGCAGCATTTACATTTGTATTTAACACAAAGTGCTGTTGATCAAACAATTCTAGAAAGATTACATATTAATAGGGGAAATGACTTTCTTCTTTGCCTCCTCTGTAATGTTGGCTGGAATTATTGTTAGGTTGAAATAGAGCTTGATGGCAGAGTTTGCTGCAATACACTATATCTTTATGTCTGTACCCTCCAGATCAGAGGCAAATCATCATCTTGCAAGAATTTTCTAACTCTTTTTCTGCAGAGCCAAAGATCCCTATTACGTTCTGTTCTAGCTACATGTGACTTAAAAGGATCCTTTCCTAACACAGGCATCTGGGGGCAAAGTAAAATAGCTAAGATACCGTCAAGTCAAAGTCAACTTTTGATGACTTACAGACATATCCAATCCATGCAGTTTTCTTACCAATTTGTTGTTGTTTTTTACTCCAAGGATACTCCTAGTGTATATTTTCAACCAGTGCAGAGTATGGTGTTGCGGGCAATTCTTGGAGTCCCTAGGTGTAGGATGACCCATGTTACATCACTGTCCCGCAAGCTGCATTGGCTGCTCGTCTGCTTTTGGGTACAATTCAAGGTGTTGAATTGTAAAAGTCTGCATGGCAGGGGCTCCAGGTTACCTGAGGAACAATCTCACCTCACTGGAACTGGTCTGCCTTATTCACACCAGCAGAGGATTCATGCTGTGAGACCCTTTAGTCAAGGGATTCCAGCTGGTGGGGTCCAGGAAAAGAACCTGGCTCTCCCAAACAGAGGAGCAGTGGTTGTTGAATTAAGAGGCAATCCCATCTCCCTACCCACCCACCCACCCACCTTCGAGCATCCTGTTCTCTCCCTCTCCATCTTTTAACTACAATTTTATTTTTATTTTTATTATTTTAGAGATATTTGTCAGAATTTTAATGGTTTAATGCTGGAAGCCTCCCAGAGTCATTTCATTAAGAGGTGGGTAGCAAATAGATTCACTAAATAAATAAATCATAAAATAATATTTTAAAAATTCCCCCAAATCCTGAGATTTCCTAGTTGTCTTCCATTCCAGTACATCTGACCATGCTTAACTTCTGAACCCAGCCAAGATTAACCAGCACTGCCACCTGCCATTGTGCTTAATGGTACAGCCACCATCATGCTATTTGCTATTATCAGCCAAATATGACAAAAGTTGTAGTTAAATACATCTGAGGACATCCAGTTGAGGAAAGCAAACATCTTTCCTGTTCCTGATTTCAAGAATGAAGATGCCCTGGCCAGATGTGCTTATAGTTAATCCAATCCTTTCAAGCAGTTAGGACTTTGTGACTATGTTCAGTGTTACTATAAGTGTAATTGCTTGCTGGAATATTGAAATTACAATGTCACATCTGGAGAGCATCAGGATAGGAAAGCTATTTTACAAACTAACTCTTCAAACATGGAAACAATCCTGCCTAGATACTGCTTTGGTGAACCAAAGTCTATACAATACTACATATTGACTGGCATGTACTTGAACCCACATGCATCTGTTTTTGCTCAATATCCAACATTTTAAAGTGCCAGATATTTGAAATATTACTAGCATTTGCACATTATTAATGTACTGGCTTAATGAAATGCTTCTTTATATACTTTTCTCAGTGGAAAATATTCTCTCCCCCATTGTGCTGACTTAACTATATCGAGAAATCTCTTCAAATGTCTCCTTTGTTTTCTATGCTGTGGCTCACCTTGGAAAGGCCAGAAAGGCAGAGCAGGAGTAGCTACTGAATCACTAAGTGGTGTCCCAGCTCTGTGTGTTTTTCCTTTTTTTTTTTTTGGCTCTATTTGTTCATTCAGGGGTTACTCTTATCTACTAGTTTAGAAGCTGGCAAATATTTTTTTTAAAAAAACTGAGTAAGTTCAGTTGGAATTTATGGCACATACTAACTGCTTTTTAAGAGGAATGTGACTGGGTTGCAAAGAAGCAGTTCAGTGTTTTAACAGCCTGTAATCTTAGCCTACGCATAGAAAGAAAAGTAAGTAATGGTCCCCTATGATGATGGAAACATGCATATCAGAACATAATAAAATGATTGCATACAAATAGGTGATAGGAGTAGTTGGGACTAGGGAATCTTGCTGGATTTCATCTCCATGCATATTTGGGGATAGCGGCTCTGTGACCCAATGTCATCCCTAAGAGATAGAACAGAACAGGAACTGACTCTCAAGAAAGCTAAAACTATACTTTATTGAGATAATCTACACTGATAGAAGTATATAGGTGCCTGTGTTTTCTCTACCCTCTCTCTTGTCTATGGAGATTCTCAGCCATCCAGGTCATGGTTATCCCAAACATGCTTTTTCAAGAGGCAGCTGGAGTTTCTGGTTTTTCTTTGAAGATGTTTTGCTTCTCATCCAAGAAGCTTCTTCAGTTCTGAGCTTTTCAAAGAAAAAGCAGAAAGTCCAGTTGCGTCTTAAAAAAGCACTTTTGGGTCTACCCTCTCTCTTATACTCCAGGAAGTCAGAGGGATGCCAATCTGAATCTTTTTCCAATACTCTCCCAGCTCTTGGGCATAACACTTCTGTACCTGTTGTTGTTCTAAAGGTGTTTGGATGCCTTCTCCAAGTTATGTCCATGGTTCCCTACACCCAATCATGTAACACATTTTTTGCAGGACACGTCACAAAGAGGAAGGTGTAGGTAGCATCCCTTGTGTCCCTTGTCAGTAATGATGTCACAGCTCCTTCTTTCTTCTGATGAGTGTTAGGGAAACAACAAGGCTAAATATATGCACCTCTACAATGCTAGGATAGCTAACTAATCTATTACCTGAATCAGGCAAAGCTATTCTAGTTGGATCCTGCTTAACACTATCAGACTCGCATTTTACTGAAAAGTACCCCAAACTATCAATTTTCTTTCCTAGAAGGGAGATTAAAATTTGCCCATGCTAGTGGGAAAAGCTACGATTTATTTTTGTCCTTCTCTAAACAATTCATGAGAATTGTGACTTTCCTCCATCTCATCTTAGTTACCCTCCACCACCTTCCTTGCACTGAGGCCTAGCAGATCTCACTAATATAGGAGATGGGGTGGAGAACAAGGAAACAGAAGAGCAGAAGAAGGTACTTGTAGGTGGAATCTGTTCCAAAGCTGTGACAGGCCAAGCAGAAGATTGTTTTCTGTTTCTCAAAAACAACTTTCAGAAACTCAAAAGTGTTGCTTTCGTTTGGATTTGCTGCCCCATTGCCAGCAGCCACCTTGGCCTGCTCTTGCTAAAGAACATAAACATAAAGCCACAGCTTTATGTGCCTCCTTATCATCCATCTTTGGTTTTGCTCCTCCTTTCCTTCTTTTTCCTGCCAACCAGCCTACGTTGCTACTGCAGGGACTCTCCCAAACTCTGCTGCCCGGGAGCAACATAATCAACAAAAGTTCTTCCCATTTTCCTTTGAATTTATCAGGAATCCAAAATCTAGTTATTCTTTTGTTTAAGGAAAGTTTATGTACAGCTACAGATAAACAATGGCTGCCTTGGCATCTGTCTGTCTGTCTTTCTCTCCATCCATCTTTTAATTTAATTAATTTATTTGATTTAGGTACTGCCTGACTCCAGAATTACTCTGGAGTCCTTCCTTCCTTCCTTCCTTCCTTCCTCCCTCCCTCCCTCCCTCTTTCTTTTCATAAGATTATTACTTCACTACTGAATCTAATGCTGCATACTTCCAAATGTACCTCTAAATCGCACTTATTTTTTTTACCTCCCTTTTATTGTTTTTGCCAGTGTCCAAGCTGATTTTGTCCAATTCTATTTTTTCCCCAGATGTAACAATGATCTTCATCAAACCTACTCAACCCAGCCACGGATGAAGGGGAAAAAACATAACACATATGGAGGATGATGAGTTGGGCAACGTTATTTTAATTTCTCCACATTAAAAGGCATTCTTGAACAAGTTTGCTTTATTCCTGTCTTGCCTTTGATATTAGAACCCTAAAACAATTAGGAGTGAAATTAGAAAATACAATCAGCATCTTTTTTGTTTTAGGAAATTCCCATCTGTTATCTAGACTGTCATAGTTGCACAGAACATGAACAGCCTATTAGCACCAGAATGCATTTCAATTTACAAGTTCAAAGGCTCAACCAGAAACACTACTTTGAAAAAAAGAGTTCCAGCAAACAAATGAACAAAAATGGAAGGAAAGGATCCAGATGGCTCTTGGGATATCTGCAATCCGAGCCATCCCAAAAGCTAGATTGGGATATCTGCAATCCAAGCCATCCCAAAAGCTAGGAATAGAAAAAGTGGAAAGACACTGAAAAAAGAACTAATCCTGCTGTACTCCAGTTTTGAGTTCAAATTGAGAATATTTGCTGGAAGGACTACTTTCTTGATAATTTTTTCCCTAGCAAGTCAGCAATTAAAACACATGCTATTTAGTTAGACACTAAATTAAAATGCTATCTAGAAGTGGAACTACAAACATCTGGAAGATCTCTAGTTGCTTCCAGGCCGAAGAAATTAGATTCATAAGCCACAGCAGAAACATGAGAGGTTTATATATGAATATTTGTGTGTGTGTGTGTGTGTGTGTGTGTGTATTACATGGAATACTTTTTCTTCCAGACAGGCTCATGTTTGAGTGTGGCATCTTAAAAGTATTACTGCTTAGTTCTATTCACATGATCACACTTCACAATTAAAAATAACTTCTGTTTCATGCTTGAAAAAGTTAAGGCGTCCTATTTCTTCAAGCATTTGATATAAAATTCCACCAACTTTACACAGACACTCTGCAATTTCTACCTCAGCACTTAACTCTTTTTTTCCTGGCTGCTCCACATGGTACATCTGTCTTGGACTCAAACCATTTCTCCACCTTACTGTCTTTTCTTCGCTTCTCATTCTCCTACCCTTTCTCTCCTTCTCCTATTGCCTTCCTTACAATTTCTTACAATTGCTCAGGGCTCCAAACACCCCCAACTTGGTGCCATCCAGATGTGGTGAATTGCATCTCCTACATTATTCCCATGCCAAAATGGTGAGGGCATTACAAAATATATATATATATGTATGTAGGGGATTGTTTGCCTCTTCCCCTTAATTTCCTTATCCCATCTCCATCACCATCATCATCTTCATCTCTTTCAAGGTTTTCTTCAACCTTTCCAGCTCTACCCCATAATTCCCACCCCCCTTCTCTCCCTTTCTCACACTCCGCACGCCGTACTAAAATTCACCCGCGACTTGCCGAATGTACAAAAACTTTAAATTCTAATCTTTAGACTTTACCTGTCCTGGAGGTAGTGGAGAGGAAGCCACACAGATTGTCGCCTTTCTGAGTTTTCTTAAGTCTTTTTTTTTTCCTCCCCACCGAAGAAAACTTGCCGGAGAGAAAACAGGAGTTCTGAAAACTCTCTTTTACCACCGCAGCCAGCGGAAGGGCTCTTAATGCCAGTGACGTTAAAAGTCCCTCAATCGTAGCCTCTGTTGTCCTCCCTTCGTAGCCGTCCCTTCACCGTGGACATAAAGAAGCAGAGTCCAGCGACGGACACGGGAGAGGGATTTGGAAAGAGGGTGGGTGGAGTTTCAACTCTGATTGACCAATCCCGAGCCGACAGAGAATGAAGTTCGGTGAAGACGGAATGGCTTTCAAAAAGTCCAGCCGAGGGAAATTCAGAAACTCGTGATCTTTCATCTTTCCCCTTCCTCCACCCCTCTCTTTCCGAATGAGAGCGTCCTTCTTAAGAGGTTGAGGTTTGGAATATTTTCCTTCCATGAACAGGATTGAGGGATGGCATTTTCAGCTTTGGGCAGGTTCCCCCCCTCCCCCGTTTATCAAGGAAAAAAAAATGGTTTATTATAGATGTTGGTTGACAGCTTCCCTCCACACCGTCTCTCCTCCCCCCCTCCCCAATACATCTGACACAGCGAGTAAGTGACTACATGATTTGAACCTATACGTTGCAGCTTCATCTCCTCTCTTCTTGCAGTGCCAAATGTGGATCAGGAACGGTGGTCTTTGTTCCCCGCGTGCATTTTGTTTACCTGTCCTGAAGCAGTAGATTCCAGTTGTACTCAGTGCGATCCTATAGCAGATGCTCACAGCTGCTGCTGAACTACAACTCCCAGTAGTCCCATCCAATATGGCCAAGGAGTAGGGAGCGTAGGTGTTGTAGTCTGTAGAGTTACAATGCTCCATCCTGATTTAAGGAGCTGTATTTAGCATAGCGCATAGGCAGGGTCTCCGGCCTGAGCAGGGGGTGGATTAGAAGACCTGCAAGGTCTCTTCTAAATATGTTATTCTGTTTTTCTGCTGGGTGGTGTGTGTGCGCGCGCCCGCCTGTGTGCTCTCACACACCTCTCTGGACTTACAGTTTCAGAACTGCCATTATTTAAATAGACAAATGTAAGATTGATATTTCATACTGTCCGACTTATTCTTCAGAGTTACCAGTTGGTGAGGATGTGATAGTTATTGCAGGAAGGTAAAATGGATAAATAAGAAACTTTGCTATCAACATGGCTAGGTATTTTTTATAATGATATACGATGAGATTATATATACCAGAGGTGGTATTCAGCAGGTTCTGACCAGTTCTGGACAACCGGTAGCGGAAATTTTGAGTAGTTTGGAGAACTGGCAAATACCACCTCTGACTGGAGATTTTACAGTATCCTTCCCTTGCCACGCCTACCAAGCCACACCCACAGAACCTGTAGTAAAAAAGTTGAATCCCACCACTGATATATACCACTGAAAGGCAAAGATTTCTTTGTGTCAAACATGACTGCTAGTTATTACATGGCTGTACCAGTGTAGTTTTTGTGTGAACAGGATTGAAAAGTTAGCTATAAATTTCTTCCCAGATTATTTTTCAACTTCTTAGTATAGCTTATAGCCTTGCAGTTGTTTGATAATCTTTATGCAAACATTAACTTGATCCAACCTAACTTGTATTCCAAGATCAACTGAAGTTAGTACTGTGTTGCAATTGACATTTATTTATTTCTGCTTTTCTGGATACACTTGTTTCCAATATCACCCATATATAACATTTAAATATTTCTTTAAAATATCAACAAACACACATTCTCTGTTCCATTGAGTTGCTGGAAAAGTCCACTTTCGGGGGGTTCTTTGATTTTCTCCATCCCTCCTGCCTTGAATTCTTAAGATAATTATGTTTAAAGAATAATATTTTCATGAGTTGTTCTAGTTGCGCTCTTCCTTCCTTTATTACTCAACGTGTGGTTGATCAATTCAGATAAATGAGTTTGCAAATTAGCCAAACAGTAGTACTGGGGAAGGATGGTACATGCAGTATATTGCACAGTAGGACCAAGTTGAACCAAGTGAAGATTGATTGAAAATGGAGCTATAATGAGTTGGGGACTCTGAAAATGTAGAACAGAATACACCCTCTGTGAGGGAATTTCCATTTATCCCTAAAGCAGCAACTGTACAGCCTGAACGTTATTGTTAAACAATCCACTATTGTCTTTGATTAAGAAAGGTTTTCTAAGCTTTGTATTTGTAGTCATACTACATACTTAACCAAATCACTGGTTTCATCTTGCATGTTGTACAAGACTAGCATATTTGGTTAGTTGATGGTTTGATGTACTGTATTGTGCAAGCTCAGAAAACATGTTAATTTGGTAACTGACTTCATGGGACATGAATGCTGTCTCTGTTTTGGCTGTGTCAATTTCTGGAGAAACTGGTCTGCCTAATCACTTCCAGGACAGATTAATGTCAAATGTTCTAGAATGGCGGTGTCTTTAATGGTAGCTCCAAAGCTGCCATTCAGAAGGCAGTTATCAGAGTTCTAGCTGGAGCCTGTGGGACAGATTTATGGTATATGTGATTCTAAACCATGCTTTCTTTCATTCTGATTTTCTGAATCAGACACAATTGAGTAGTTAATGCAATCATATTGGCTAGATTCATATAACATGATGAGCCTAAACAAGCCATATGACTTAGAAAAACACAAGATATCTGGTAACATCTAGGTTTATATATGGTGAGATTTGTACATACATACACACACAACACATAATTGGTTTTCTGGGCGTTTAGCATATTATGAGAACCAGCCACTTAAATTATGATTAAACATACCACGGCTTAATAAGATAATATGAATTACCTTGCAGCTAACCCTTACAGGACATACTTGATTAATATGTTTTCAGGTTTCAGTAAAATTCAGTCACAAACCTCAGTTATCTTGTACATTTTTATCAAAACAGCGGATACTAATATATCACTGTGGTGTGTGCATATTATTCACAGTGCCCAGGGCTGTGTTTCTCAACCTTGGCAGCATGTTAACTGGGCAATTCTGGGACTTGAAATCCAGACATCTTAAAGTTGCCAAGGTTGAGAAACACTGGCCTAGGGCTTATGGAATGTTTGGAGTTAATTAATGTATTTCAAGGTTTCTTTTTAAAAAACAACAACCCTGAAAATATGACAGAGAAATCAAAATTCGTACACTGTCCAAGTTAAATATATTTAAGAGATTACTATTACTTTACCACATGTATACTTATTGCAATTTAATTTTGTGACATCATGCACTCCTCAACAAAATAACTTTCACCGAAACTCATTGAAAATATAAATGCAGGAAATACTTTTATAATCCGAACATTTTGGATTATTACTGCAGTGAGAATTTATAAAGATAAATCTTCAAGGGTCTTAATGTGGGTCTGTATCACCAAACTCCCATACTTTGATCCATGAGATACAGTTTGTCCTAGTTTTCAGACTGAAGTTCTATTGTTCCTGACTGGATACTGGCAGTTTTTGCACAGTGGAAGAGTTTGCTGATCTTTTAAACCAGTGCAAACATATTTGAAAACCCCTGTTGAAGTTTTCATAAAACTGGAAGAAATACTCCAAGTTAAATACTTCCTATAACAATGGATTTTCCTCCTATAACAGTGAGGTTCAGTTAGGATGGCATTGGGGAAAATGTAACCTTGCTCTTCAAATTAATGGTACTGCTGTGTGGTTGACACTCTATTCTACCAGAAGACTGGGAAGTACTGCTGTCACACCCTTTTCATCTGATAAGCTATAACAAGAAGCATTCTCTTCATAAAGGAAGTTCTTTATTACCATTACAATGTATTTACACAGACTGCCATATAGTTTGATCTTCTCACTGTTGTAGTCAGAAAAGATGAAGAAGGGTGGGAAATAATATGAAAGGCTGCCCATAGTCTCTAGTGAAAAGTCTTAAGGAGTTTTGCCATAGCCTTTTCTGGAAAGTAACATAGAGCCTGTTTAAAAGGAAATACTGTAAGGAAGAAACACTTATAAACTCTGGGAATGAATGATATGATGATGATGATGATACCAAGGCTTCAGGCTTGAAAGACCTATATTTATGAAAATCTAAACAGCTGACAGTCAGGGTGGGGCACAGAATTACTATAAAGCACAAAACTTGTTCAACAGAGGAATTTATCTGCAGCATCAAAGCTCAGAATTCTGCAACAAAAAAAAGGAAGCAAAAAAAAAAGCATCAGACCGGATTCCATTCTCCACTCAGACCTTCTTCCATCTCAACAGCCTAACTGAGAAGGCAAAGAATTTAGAGTTCCTTGGTGGACCAGTCCATGATTTAAATTCCACCCACCCTGTGGCAGCACTGTAACCAGTGACTGAATAAAGAAGGGCAACGTGAAAAAGAAAATGCCACTATCAAAACTTTTCTAGCTGATTTTTGTGTGACTTCTTCCTTTCTCTTGCTCTACCATTGGAAAAAAAGTTGAAGAACCAGAGAGCTCAGGAACATATTAACACATCACACTTCAAAAACAACAACAACAGCAACAACAGTGCAACGTGTAAGCCTAACAACTCATTTTCTGATTTCTCTATGAACTAGAATAGCAGCCCTCAACCTTTGCAGCTTGTGAGGGGCTGGGTGGAGGTAGGGAGATGGGAACCGGGCCGAGTGAGTGGTGGGCTGGCACACAGGCACGCATACAGCTTAACTTGCCTAAGTGGAGCTGTGCACACATGCACACCAGCCCGCCACTTGCACCAGTTGAGCTGTGTATGTGTGTGTGCGCGCACACCGGCCTGCCGCTAGTGCATCCTGTTTCTAAATAGGCCATGGCCTGGCAGTGGCTCAGGGGCTGGGGATTCCTGAACTGGGAAGAGTGCAGAGAAGAGCAACAAAGATGATTAAGGAACTGGAAGCTAAAATATATGAAGAATAGAAGCACTTCAGGGTAGGACAAGAAGCAATGGATGGAAACTAATCACGGAGAGCAGCAACCTAGAACTACGGAGAAGTTTTCTGATAGTTACAACAATTAATTAGTGGAATGATTTGCCTCTAGAAGTTGTGGATGCTCTAACATTGGATGTTTTAAAGACGAGATTGGACAACCTTTGTCTGAAATGTTGTAGGATTTCCTGCTTAAGCAGGGGGTTAGACTAGAAGACCTCCAAGGTCCCTCTAACCCTATTTTTCTGTTCTGTTATTGTTCTATAACTTCTGAGGTATTTTAGTCACAATTTATAGGGAATCTCACAGGTGCCATCAAATAATGTACTGTACAAAGCTGTGATTCAGAAATATACAACAGAAACTCCAGAGCCCCATGCATCTCTCACATTTTTAGATGCAACCCCAAGAAACCCTCAGAAGCTCAGCCCAAATGGTAATTACTTATGTGATTAAAAAAAGTGGAAATTCATAAAAGCTAAGCTGAAGAGGATCATGTAAACACATTTAATCGTATATACACATTAAACCGGGGGTGGGCTTGGCCAGCGCGTGACTCATCTGGCCCACAGGCCCTGAGTTTGACACCCCTGTTGTAGACAGTCATCCTTCATTTTCAGCTTGTCCATGTTTTCATATCATTTCTGCTGTTTCATTTTGATGTTAGTTACAAGGCAAAAATATATTAAAGTGAATAAAAAGAAAATCTAAAAAATGGCTTTTGATTAGTGGTTGTAGAAGACCTCTGTCTAGAAGAATATTACTAGCATTATTTCTGTGTAGAGAGGAAGAAGACGAATGTTCAATTTCTGTACATTATGTTTAGAAATTCTGCTTGAAAAGACATAATATCCTCTTTCACCAAAGGGTAGATGAACATTTTTAAATATTTTGTCTTTGATATAGCCGCTCCATTGGTTGAGTTGTGGTTTAATCACAGCTGTACCTCTGAGCTTGGGGCAGTATGTGCTGTGTACGGAATCCTATAATATTTATCATGACAGCCATCTGTAGGCAAGGTTAGAATAATTGCCCAAGCAAGCAGAAAGATTTCCAAATTATGGGTGGATGTCATTAAGACATTTATCTAAAATCTTTGAGCTGTTGGAATGCATCTAAGGATACACATCCTCATTTAGACTTACCTATACTGTACCATTGCTTGTCCATAACCGGACCTAGACTTCAGTCATGACATTTCAACCTGTTTCTTTGGCATCATGGGTTTTGGAAGGATTTAAATTTAAATGAAGTATAACTTTTAATAAACAGTGCTCGTGGCCGCTTCGGTTGGTATGCCTGACTCACATGTTTCCTCCCCCTGCTTTTTAATAAGAGGTAA